GGGCGTAACTATTTAATTTACGATTATACTTATAGAGACAGCAGATCTAGTACCTAGGTGGTCCCACTCGGCGACTTTTCACAGGTGTGACCTTGAGGACACTTATTTGGTCTGACGATCGTCAGATAGTCCATAGAAACTATATAAAACCGTATAACAATTTTAAGGTATACAGTCCTTCCTAGGAAAATAAGAGGAACGAATTTATATATATTATATATATATCATACTGTACATTAGTAGTTTATAGAGTGGTACAAATAAATAAATTATTACAACGAAATAAGTGCAACAGACATATACATGTTTGTGGTAGCGATACATCTAGTCCGGACGGTCAGGGCAGCAGATATATATAGAGATGGCTAACAAGTTATATTATATATATATCAGTAGTAGGAGCAGAAAGTTACAATACTACGAAGCCGCACATTATAACTTCACATTATGTGATTATATAAAGTCAAATTAGGTGCACTCAATGTTGTTGTTTTTATAGCGAAACAAAATATCAGTGTAGACTGCCTCGTTTTACGTCGTGCGCCAGAGATGATTGGCTATTAGGATTTGGGTGCCCGTTGTTTGTTATTATACATGTCTACAATTATCGAAATGACAATAATAATCACCATTACTTATAATGGGCGGATATTGTTAGTCGGTAACTCAACAATTTTAGTCTGGCAAGCAAAAAAAAAAAACATGTTTGCAGACTTACTTTGCCGGTGAAGAGTCCACTAGTCGACACAGTAAATGTGTTATTTATACGGTACCATTAAATTATATACGGAAGGTTGTGTGCTAACATTCTGTGTCAAGACATACAGTACTACTCACCACTCTCGACATAGGAATGTTTTAGAGAATGTAAAAACGGGAGTTTTCCACGTGGTCTAACTACGTAAATTGGGAACCTCCAGCCTTCTGGCAAGGGCTGGCAGTTCGGCCAGCACTCAGTCTATACTGGACAAGTTCCGACCACGGCGGTATTTGTGTTGTCCAGGCGCTAAAGACGAGGCTTAAAACTCATCAGGAACTTTGATAAAAAAAAAAAAAGGGAAAAAAACAGAAACAAAGTACGTTTTTCTGGTGGTCATTTGTGCCTCTATGCGGTACTATATTTCAATTATGTGCAAATGTTACCATGACCTAAAAACTACAATAACATAGCCGAAGTATCGTTATAAATTAGAGATTTCAAACATACGAATATAATACAGAGAGAGAGAGAGAGAGAGAGGGATAGATAACCCGATTAAGTGGGTAAATTAAAGTTTGTTTTAAGTATAAACAAGACAGATATGTTTCAGATTTAGCGATGTAGGTTATGCGCATTATGTAAATAATAAAATAAATAAAAAATTATGCATACGAGACATAACAAAAAGTAATAATATACTATAAAGGACAGTGTCTGGGAAACACACAATGATTAAAACCACAATTAACCACCTGATAGCCTGTAAGTTTTACGACAAAGGAAAACAATTCAAGGTAGAAACAGACAAGATATACAACTAAAACTCTGCAGCCAATGATTTAGGCATCTATCTATCATCTGGACTAGATAATAGAACAACGCTATGATGGAATAGATAGACGGTTCTTCTCGCCTACCTAGACAGAGAGACACACCGCCCCCCTTATGCCTAGTGTACACCTTCTCCCCTCCCCATCCCCTGTACGACCTTCAGGGCACTGGGCTTAAGTGGCGGTGGATCCCCTCCTGATGGAGGTGTGCAAGGCTACCGCCGTTAAACAAAGAATTTGTTTCTCAAGCGGGGTTGTCGGTATCGCGGTTGCGTACCCCCCCACTAGCCCGAACATTTACCGATACGGGCAGGATCCTACGACAAGATTAGTTTGGCTTGTTCTACTTTTACGTCTATAGTAAGAGAGGCGCGAGAGCTGAGCGACGCATCTAGAGCTCGACTCGGGCGAGGTAAACCACCGAAACGATGGGGCACGCCACGGACTACTTGTGAGAGGTAACGCGAGCCGCGTTTTCAAACAAATAACAAAACGACAGTCAAAATGAGCGGTGAAGGTAAGGTAAAAGTAGATAACGACAGTGTTACAAAATAGTACTTTAATATAGATATAATAAAATATGATAATGAACGTGCGGAATGGCCCGAAAAGTATGAAATCATAATAGAATCGCTCTAAGTATGTCGTGACAAGTATGACGAGTACGTCCCGACGGACGAATTACATTACATAGTATGATATGGGGGCAAGTGATCCTGCGGGGGGGTTTTCCTTTTCAGCAGGGGCCCACCCCGTGCAGATCACGGACCTGCACAGGTAGGCGTCTGAAATGAAACGCTACATCTGTATACATGCATCACACACGTTTTTTATTTATTCTATTTCTTTGTTAATTCTCCTGGCAGAGTTTAGGCTGCATGATGGAAAAAAACAAAAGCTCATGTGTAGTTGGTTAATTTTTTGAGAAGAATACATGAATTTTGTTCAAACAAATGTGTTTGTCTTTATTGACTATTTAAAAAGAAGAATGTACGAAATGCCTCTTTTATTTACATCAAATAAATAATCTTATGTTTACCTTGAGCAGGCTAGGTAGATTAAACAAAACATAGGTGTGGCTTTAACAGGTACAAATTAAAAGTACACATGATTTTAATATGTGCAACCAATGTACATATATGTTTTCATGTAAATCCAAAATACTTTTTCCAGTGAAGCTTAAATAAAGAAATCATGTTGCTTTAACAGGTAAAAATGAAATACACTGAGCATATTAAAAGCCTAAAATGAACACTAAAAAGTCATGTTGGTTAAACATACGGTAAATGAATATACCTAATATTAAAGGAAATATTAAAATGAACATAAACATTTCATGTTTCTTTGACTTAAAATAGTTGTGTGTCTTTAACATAATGTTTTTAATATGTGTAACCAACAGCCTTTTTTTCAGTGTATGTTGACGTTGACTGCACATAAAAATCATGCCCTCGTGGGGTTTCACTCATGTGATTGGCTGCAAATGAGGGAGACATATAATTGGCTACGGATGTTTTCCTGTTCAAACTAATGCCTTTGTGAAGCGAGCAACATTAGGGGAGTCTCACAAAACCCAAACGAATGCAGAGTTCACAACATGAAAGGGTTAGATACAAATTGCAAACACTTTTAAATACATATGGTTGATTTATATTACATTGATACATATCAATAAATATTTATGTGTGGATCTATAATATTCATGACATTTATTTCTATATGTGGATTATTTTTTAATTTGTATAAAACGATAATTATTTGTGCATTGAAAGATATTTTGTGGATAGAGACATTTAAACAGGGTCTATGCAGGAATCCTGAAGTCAAATGTAAGACCTTTTAAGACCTTTTTTAAGACCCTTTCCATACATTTTAAGACCTCATCGCCACTTGGAGTTTTAACCGGTTACATTGACGACACACTTTACCTCACATTTACTATATACAGTATTGATTGTCCTTCCTCCTTATCTTCCAACCATTTGGACGCAGACTTGCATTTCCCCATGACGATGTTGTTTAACAACCGGCATAAACGGACCTTCGCGCGCTATCAAGCAGTGAGCGTGCGATGTCCTGTTCAGATGACGTCAAATCCAACGGGATGCCATAAATAAACTACACAGAATCACACTACACACCTACGCAATGATTACATTCAGGCAGACTGTAGAATACAACCTCTTTGGACAATTTATATACTTATTGAAAACAAGCTACCAAAAGTAATACCTTGGAAAATGCTGTTTGTTCTACTTTTTAATAGCCTTAATTTTGGCTAAATTGATTTATCAACTTTTAATACTTTTTAAGACCCCGCGGACATCCTGGATACTATATCTTGCTTGATATTTATGAATGTATTTTCTCTTACATGGGTTTCTCAGTAGGTACGGCTGTGCGCTTGCGAAATAACTTCTCCCTGTTCTGCATGATCTCCTCGGAAGTCAAGCCCTGGTCACCGTTTTCAACCGTCTTCTGCCCAGCCTTAGTTGGATCCACTTTGGCAGGCTCAGCTGCAGGAGCTGGTAAAGATTGGTATAACAAAAGAAGTCAGCAGTGAGATTTCATTCATGTACATTTTTGTTCGGACTACAAAGCCTTCTGAAATCACTTACCCTCCTTTTTGGCATTTTTATTCTTCTTGCCACCCTGTTCCTTGACTTTTTCCCCACCTTTGGTCTCGATCATTGACTTCACAGTTTTCTGGGATTTCTCGGACTGAACAAAGGTCCGCATGTTGCCCTGGGTCCGAGCTTTGCTGCTATTCTCCGCATCCCTGTTGTAAACATGTAATGCATATCAGAGTGTACAAGACAAAGCCATGACTGGCTAATGAAGCATCTTCACCACATTTAAATGTACACTTTTGTTTGCCACAGCAGACACACATATATGTAACATAAATTGCAAAAATGTATGTCTTTACCTAAGAAGCATTGAGAAGTCATCTTCAAAATCAAAGTTGTTTTGGATTAGCTTCAGAGGCCCCTTTTGCTCCAGCTCATTCTTATAACGATCCCTAAAATGGAGCTGAACGTCATCTATGAACTTGTCCACATACGTCAGCGTCAGGATCTTTTGAAAACCCACCTGGACAGAGACAAGGGAAAGAGAAGAGTGATCTCACGTATGTAGAACTAAAAACAACATGAAAATATGTTGCAGATTTGAACACCTAAATTGTGTTTTACTGCCATTTATGTAGTGTAGAGGTGAGAGGCTTACCACAAAAATCAACTCAAACTCATTGTCGAGTTTGTATTTCAGATTCAGGGCCTCATGGGTGTATGAATTGTTCCCACTGCGCTCCTGTAACATAACAAACATCGTTGACATGTCAACAGCAGCTACACAAACACACACATCTCGTTTCTACTATAGCTAGCCTGCTGCGTCTCCATAACAACGCTAAATAAGTCTCTCTAGCACTACATGTGCCAACATTCAACTTACGATTCTTTGTTACATGGTGATTATGATATGCACATATGGTGACGGTGACCAGGTGCCAACAAAACACATGTGCACAGAGGTAATTTAGATTTCAATAACATATGTTGCAGATTAGAAATGTATAGTACGGGTCCCTAGCACATAGAATCTGCCGGATGCTAACTTGCCTATGTTGGTCAATAAGCATAAATTGCGTTATTTAGCATTATAGCCTATGTTGACAATAGTTATGAAATGGCTTGGCCGATTTGGACAATTTTGGAGTGTTAATGTTGTTATTTAGGATGCTGGATCCATTTCTGACATTTTCAGGATCGACATTGGCATTTTTACAACAACATTTCCTGGTTCACAGCTGGCAACCAGAGTAAAAACCGAGTTTTATACGGCCGACTATCGTTCCTATCAAATAAGGGACATGGTCTCAATTTGAAGGATGGGGGACAAATGATAAAAATGCAGTTCAGTCCCACACAAAGCAGGACACCTGGGCCCCAACATATGGTATGTAAGCACACAATCAAAGTAGCTAAACGTTTTAGAACACGAACGTTGCGCAATAAGCTAACGTTTGCTAGCATGAGCATTAGCAGTCCAAGCCATAACAGAGAACTGTCGGAGGGTTTTGAGCAGCCTGTTGTCCCACCTGAAGGATTACAGAGCGGATCAGAGCGTTGACAGGCCCGGTGAAGGATTCGGTGACCCCGGCTCCCTGAAAACACCACAACACTATCCCCCCTTTGCTGAAGATGGTGAAGAAATCTAGCATCTTGCCACCTTGTGTCTGGATCAAAGAAACGTATACGGACAAAAAGGGTTAAACAGAAAATCAGCGATAAATGAGCTGTTAAATGAGTCTTTACAGGGCCGGTGTTTAATTGTCAAACAATTACTTCTTACCAGATATCAGTATGATAGATAATAAATCCCCCACGAGTAAAATCCACCACCAGAGCGAAACTGTTTTAGACACGTCAGATGCAGCACTAGGAAGTGACGCGCACTTCCGGTGACGTTTCCCCATCGAAGAACACGCATGCGCAGTTTTTTTGCGAATCGTTAGGCGAGGAGGGAGGTTAAACTTTTCCCTCTCATAAAGAAAATCAAAACAGTGCACTAAGAACATTTAAAAAGAAACACTTTTAATTAATCGTTTTCCTTTAAATGCACATTTGATTACTTATATTTAGGTAAGTATTGCTATTTGCTGCTACTTTCTACTATTCCGTAGCATGTTGTTGTTGTTGTTGTTGTTATAGCTGAATACAATTGTTTCCCTCTCTTTAAAAAAAATCAAGATTGGGTCACACAGGGCTAAATAGCACATTATTCATAATGAAAAAACAGACATCAGGATAATGTGAATATTGTGGCAATGACGAAACAGTTGACCACATGTTGTTGTTGTTGCTATGTCCAAGATACCAAGACCGTTTATCACTAAAGAAAGCAAAGCACTGAACAAAAAACATACAGAATTAAATATAATAGAGATTTTGCAAAGGAGTTCAGGGGATGTAACATGCAGGGGCCAGGCAGTGTTAAGGTTTTTAAAAAGAACAGGAATTATATTAAGGATTTAGGATTATACCGGTTATACCGTGCTGATCCACACTCCATTCCAAAAGGTGGCGGTAAATGCAACTTAAAGCTGTTTTTAAACAACAGAAGAAGGAGTAAAACAAACTCAAACCAGTGCACTAAGTTAACTAACAACAAAAAAACATTTAATGTATCATTTGACTTTAAATACACATTCCCTACAGTATTGCTATTTGCTGCTACTTTCTCCTATATTTCAGATGGAAATGTTGTTTATTTTTGCCCTAATTTATCTAGCTGATCAAGATTTATTGAAAATACAAAAGATATGATCAGATGTGTACATTAAACTAAACCACAGTAATCCATGCAAAGTAGGCCTAGATTAATGAAATTAGTTTTCATAGGCTAAACTATAGGCTACACATTACAGTGTACAAACAGCGTCCATTTTTTTCTGCATTGAGTAGCCTATTTTGATTTCAAAATCACACTTTTTGAATTATATCACTTCCCTTTATTCAACAACCAACATTTCAAGGCACGACTCCTACTTTGTAGGTAATACTCTAACAGTATACATTGATACTGTCACTAAAAACAGGAATACATTCCCCAGTTTTTTCTTGTCTCTGGGAACAGGGACATTTATTTTGTCTTCTCTTTTACTTTCAAGTTGAAATGCCACTGCGGTTAACCAGTTCCTTACACATGGCAGGTTAGAGGACATTAGCCTTTTAACTGAAAGTGAGAAGTGGTTGCTGATGGTGTGCCAGGGGGTACTATTGCAAAGTGTGTTTTTTGTAAATCTAATATTATGCCAGCTTGCTTCATACTTCCTTAATTTGACTGCATGACATAATTGCTTTGCTTGTATCTAATTTTACACAAAAAAATGTAACCGCAGCAAATGTTCAACTGTGTGCATGGTGATTGTTTGGTAAATGTCAAATGTTCTTGTACTTACACATCTTTTTTTTAATCTTTTTCTACAAAACAGAAAGTATTAGGTCAAGATTATAAAATACATAAAATATGTAAATGTAAATAAAACCACAGACACACACTAGACACACACACCCAAACACATACAATGTGGGAGGAAAAGGGATTTGACATTAGCTTCCGTCATTTTAAGTTGTGGATTACAGCGGTTGATGCTGTCTTTCCTCTTAATTCGTGTTAATAGTAATAGAATAATAGTATATTAACATTCACATCACAAATGAGTGTTAATCTAGTTAAGGAAATGTTCTTTTTCTAGAAAATCTGCTATATTGAATTGCTTGCTTTGAAAGAGTTAACTACGTGCTTAATGGAGCATACGTTTAGCACACTTTGCATTTGCAATTTGAGTGAACCTGCTGAGGGTTTTCTTTCAGCAGTAACCAACTTCCTCTTTTCTTTTGGTGATGTCGGTGACACTCAACGGCCGTTTTTCTCTCTCTTTGTTACTTTCTGTTGCTGTGATTTGATCATTTCACATTGTTGGTACAGTTATTAGCTTGTTTACCATCTCTGAGTAACGCGTAGATGGGTCAGTGGAAATCTTTTTAAGTAATGACATCTTTAAACTATTTTTTACTGCAAGGATTCTGTGGAGGTACTGAGCATACAGGATGTAGTTAACAACATGCATGGTAAGTTAAGTCATTTATTTCTCATGCAAACGTTATCTTTATCAGTGTAAATACTGTTAAATCTGTAACTTTCTTATGGGTCATTCCAGGATTGGAGGACAATTTAGACATCTTATTTAACAACATTGCTTTGAACATTACAGGAGACACATCTCCACAAAATAATAGAAAAATAAGTAAATAAAAAGCCTATTTTAAATGTTATTTATTTATATATCCAAATGCCATTTTAGGGGGTGCTTGGGAGCTATTAGATATTTTAAATAATATTTTGAAACCACCTATTTTACAACTTTATTTACATTAGGTCTAAGGACAAATATATATTTAACACAACAAGTGCATGTTTTAGCATTTTGGGCATGGATTTGAAATGTCATAGGTGGGAAAGAAAATGTCCTAAATGATCACATAACTTTTAATTGTAATTGTTATCAAGCTTTATGGTTTTTAAGTGGACTAGGAAGAACTCATAGAAATCAACATATTTGTATTTCTCGTTTAAGGATGGATGCGGAAAATCTTTAAATCAAGAGTAACTTCATCAGCACAACATGAACAAGAGGCACATGTGCCAAAAAAGTCAGTGTGTTCTGTCAGCCGTGAATCCCCTTCATCTATATCCCCATGCTGTTCTCTGTCATCATCATCATCACTGGGGACAGCCCCTTCAAAACCTCAGCTCCCACATTCTGCTCCGAGTTCACGACGATGGAGTCGAAAGTATGACGTGTTGGTGTGCAACAGCTCTTTGCAAAGTGACGTTGAGGAGGCTTTCCGCCTGGTCTCTTTCCTGGAGGCTTCTCCCCGCAGTCTAAGGTGCTTTCTTATGCAGAGAGACGCCTGTCCAGGAGGTGCAATTGCCACAGAGTTTTGCCAGGCGGTGCAGAACAGCCACTTAAGGGCTCTTCTTATCACTCCAGACTTCTTGCAGGATGGATGGTGCAAATATATCATGCATCAGGCTCTAGCTGAGGGGCCTATGTCTAATCGGATCATCCCCCTGCTTCAGAACCTGTCCCGCTCTCAGTGTCCTCCGGAAGTGAGGTTCTACTACCAAATTGACCTGAGCAGTAACCCTGAACGAGGTTATACCGTCGTCAACAAGACTGTGCTCAATTGTAAGTAATGTACAACACAACCAACAACTTATCATTGGGCCAGTAACACAAGGATACATTGAGCCTGGTCTTTGGCCAAAGTTTAACCTCATATCTGTTGAATGTTATTTTCAACCAACTGTTTCCTCTTGTGAAATATGTGGTTCTTGAAAACTCCCCCAGCTATTTATTTCATATATGTGGGACGTCAAGTCAGAATCAGAAAGCCTTTATTCGTCCCAAAGCGGGGAAGTTTACGTGGTCACATCATCAATATACAGATAAAAGGCCAAAGGAAAAAGAGTACCGGTACTTACCAATAAAATAAAAAAGATAGGCACATGTTATAAGAAAAAAACAAACAGAGTAAAGTAACATCCTTTTAAAAGCAAGTTAAAATATAAAAGTATTGAAAAGGTAATGGAAGCAGATTATACAAATACATACAAAAATAAAGCCTACATTTCACATAAGTATTGAAAATTAGATGTGGTACTGCATAACCGTTTTTATGTTTACAAAAGTGTTCAGAAGTACAGAAGTCCTCCTTAATAATCTCATCCTTTTTGTTTTATACAGACCTGGAAAACCTGGATAAAAATCAGAAGACACTGGATTACAGCATGGACAGCTCTAGCAATGGTGCAATAAGCAGCCCCAAAGAAAGAGAAGCTGATACTCAAGTATACGATCCTGCTGGGATGCCAACTGAGAGTGATATAGAAGAAAGATGATTGCTAAAAAGACGATTTATTAAGTTATAAATAATGGTCACCTAACTAAGATACATTGCTCTCAAAGGAGAACACTACTGTCAACCTCAGTGACCCTAAGAGCACATCATTTTGGGACTCATTCTTTTGCTCGTATTTTGTGTGATGCGGATTTGTATCCAATGAACAGGAAACTGTCGGTTCCAAGCAGCACTGGGGCCTATTTCCTGTTTCAGATCTAGAGAACTTCTCCCTGGCTTAAAATCTGTGCAATAAATGTGGTTGATGAGACACATACCGTGGGCATTTGAGTTCACAGTCTCAGCTTGTTACACATAATCAAATTTGGTTACAGCCCATACAACGAAATAGGGCACTAAAGCACCATAAATGCACGAGATGTTCCTTTTAACAGAGACAAATATGACAGACTAAAGTTACAGTGTTCAAAAAGATTGTACATATAGTGGCTACCACTAGATGGTGTATTTTCCTTCTTCCACCCAACCGAGAGTGCAAGTCAGGGTATGCCAGTCATGAAGGTGTGATCTTTCTGATATACATTTCAAGCCTTTTCTTTAATCCACAATGAGAAATATTATGTTGCATGTGTTTGGTTGTAAGAGTGAGAGGGAAAGAACCAGCCACAACAACATGCCTGTGGCTTGACCTTTTCATTGAACTGGGACTTTTCGAAATACCAGAGGAAGTGTCACGCCTTTTAAGAAAAGAATAAACCTCATTGTCTATGAACACAGTAAGAGTTCACATCATGTATGGCTCTGGTGTGCTGGTGTTAATATTCTAAGTAGTGGTATTTCTGACTGTGCTCATCTAGTTAAAACAAAGTCTGAATATGTCGAAGAGTTGGACGGAAAACACTTTAATTTCTTCATCCAAAACCAAAACTCTTGGTGATTGAATGTCCTTGGCAGCACCTGCCCTTTCAATCACAAATCAAGCATATTGGCACGGCTTCATTTCAGGTGGTTGGCATTTGAACCACTTGATGTAGAATATCAGGTATTCAGTGCGTCTACTTGAGCTTTTTGATCCTTGATCTTTTCTTTTTTGACTCTCTCACACACACACACACACACACACGCTCACACACAAAAAACATTTGGGTTGACACTATTAGGCACATATCAAACCCTACAGAGAGAAAAGGAAATAGTGTTAGGACAGAAGCCTTGCGGATAAAAAGAAAATAGCTAGGAAGAATAATACAAAACCTAAAGGGACACAATAACATATTGTTGAGGCCCAAATGCAGGATTCTGAAAAGATGAAAGTATGCATGG